ATTCCGCCGATTCATTCCTAGATCTAATGGATATGTCATTGAATCAGTATCCTGTATCAGAATGTAATACAACGCAACGCGTGTATACATTTGTTTACCTTCATATATGATCTATGGCAGGGATATATACGAAATGAAATGTACCATCAATTTCTTTTCAATCGGGGATACATATGTATCCTTCTTCTCTCCAACCAAGAGGGGAAAGATTATGTGAAGTGTTAGAGCAGTTGCACTATAGGTCTATTTGGGAAGGCAGAAATGCTAGAATCTTCTCTGTAGATCTGGAACTAAGGATGGCCTGATTGATTTGGTCACTTTTAGATCTGATCATTGGGTAAAGACAAGGATCAGTTGACATCATCACAAATTAGACACCGTACCACTTTCACTACAAGAACTTTATTTTGGTAATAAAATAAAATTTTATTAAAAGAAAAAAAAAAAGAGAAATTACAAGGAGACTGACCAGAAGTCACCTAAGAGAAAGAAACAACTTCAACTCCCACTGAAGCCTCCAGACCAAAACAAAACCTAACAAAACAAGAAGACACAGCATCCTAAAAACCCAACTCTCCTACAAAAACATTGCATCAACAACCAGAACCCAACTATTAACCCAAACCAATAAATCTCAAAGACAATGTCAACCAATCACACTTTCAACCCGAACAAACTAAAAAAAAAAAAAGAAACCAAGAACCCAATCCAGTTAGAACAAAAACAACAAAGACAACCACAACCCCAATAAACTAAAACTGATAGCTCCAAACAAATTATTTCTTTGAGGCTTTCTTGGGCCTCATCATATTCTTGTTTGGTCCAATCCCATAGGCCCCCTTTTTAGTCTGCAAAGACATTTGAAACCAAGACATCTCAATGCTTTGTCTGGTTTCTGAAACTTCTAACTGCTATAGTATCCTTCCTGATCTCCAATGAAACCACAGGCTCCTCATTAATCCTTTTCAGTTTCAAGACTATTTTTCTCAAAAAAAGTGATCACCAACCAATAACTTCTTCGGCTGGGCCGACATTTATTTTGGCTCCCAATCCCTTTGATAGGCCCCAAACACTATGGAAAGTGGGTACTAATAATCATGGATTTCTTTCAATGAAGGATATGTAGAATGTGATTTGATTATAGTATTGCTCATAAGATTGGCCTCAAACACTGTTCAGTCCACATATTCTTTGTCTACCCAACTTCCAACTAGTAATCAGATTATGCCTATCTGCTTAGCACATCTACTACTAAAGTGAACAATAACGGATATACAAAGCTTGTTTTTTTCTTCCTCTGTCAGGTGGCCAAAGAAGAGGGGTTGGAGTTATGGAGGTGCACTAGAGCAGATGTTAATCTTCTGGTTAACCTTATATTGGTGATGAAATCTTCCTGGTAAATTCTGCATCTACCAGACTGGATTTCAAACTTTTACACCCATTAAAATACTTACCAGGAACTCCCACTTGCACATCAAAAGATCAAATAAGAAGTAAATACACAAATGAAAAAAAAAATCATAAGAAATAAATCATCTCCTAAACAATGTAAAATGTCTAGTCAGGAAAAAAAACATAAAATGCCCCAATCAGAAAAGGGCATTGGTCCCAAGTATCCGGGGTTTTGGGAGGTATGGACTGGATAAGACCTAATCTTCAGCATTTTCTTGCACAAAGTGGCCACTCTCTGACTCAAACCCACATCCACACGCTTATCAGCCTGAGATTTTACCATTGCACCAAGCAATGGCCCCTAAAATGCCTCAATCAAACACCAACTTATAAAACATAAGCATGAGAGAAATAACATAAACAATTTCCATGACTATTCTAAAAGATGTATGCAAGAATATCTTTAGACATACCCGATCTAAGAAATAATTGGCAACATCAGGAAGAAAATGCAATTCATCTCTTCTCTTGTATGTTTCTTGAAGAGCAGGATCCTTCCAAATTTCATCTACAACAGGGGCATACTCACGGGTTGCAGCAGGAAAGAAAGCATCCAAATCTCCCATAGCCATAATTTCTAGTAGCCAGTTAGAGAAATGCTTCAATCTTTGGTTAATTGAATAGATGCATTGCTTACTTTCATTGGCTCCACATTCTCCTGAATTCATTCAAATATCATCACTACATTAATCTATGCCTTCCACCCTCTACATTATAAATTGAAGTACCAACAGCTTTAACTTCTTCACAAAGATCTACACAAGGGAGGCAGGGTGTTGAAGTGCAAAAGAAAATCAAATGTATTTATAATATGAAATTGTAAAACAAAATCAACTTCAAACATTAGACAATCATGTACCATTTAAACCTATAATACCCAGATACCTGTTCAAGGATTACATTTCATGTTGGATACCTAATTTTTAGTGTAAACACCTTGTCTAGTAATGTCCTTGCTGTGTCTAGGTAACATTGGTTTAAACCCCTATAGTTGGAAATATTGAGTAGTATGGTTTAAATCCCATGTAATCATGTGGACAAGGATAAAAATTGCTTCAGAACAGTTTCTTAAGGGTTCTTGCTTGACTCCATAATCTTGAGGTGGAAGAACCGAAGGAGGGTAGGTTGATCGCAATATATTCTGGTCCAATAGGTGTGGGTGACTCACTAAGAGCTGAGATTATGGCCTTGCTTCAAGGTTTATGGACTCCACAATCTTGAGGTGGAAGGAAACTCCAAGTTAATAATAGGATGGCTGCAAGCAAAAAGTTTGGCATTTGGACTTAAAGACAGCAAATGAGGGAAATTTCTTGCTTGACAAGGAAAGTTGGGGCACTCTTTAAATGGACCAGGAGGTCAGCCAATGGTTTAGCTGATACCTTGGAAAAGCAGGGGACCCTTAGGGGTAATCTTTTTTGTGCTGTGTTGTAATCTTTGAGATAACTGATTCTAGTTGTAGCAGGGAAAGGCGTGCAATGAGGAAGATGATTTTTTTTTAATTGATAACAATTTTTTTTTATCAGTAACAGTGAAATTTTATTAATGATAAAAATCAGGTTTACAAAGGGATGGAGCTAAAAAGTCTTAACTCCAGCTACCCAAGTGACTTTTTGACCATGCAGTGATTACAAAACAGCCCAGAATAATGTATCTCTATTTACTCCTTGCCTAGCTAGACCCTCAGCCAATGCATTTGTGCTTCTCTTTATCCATGTACATTGAATTTCCATGTTCTTGGTTAACCACCTATACTTCCTCTTTTCATTGCTGTATTTCCACATCATAGCACTGTCCTCTTTTAGCCATTTCACCACCATTTCAGAATCACCTTCTATAACCACCTTTCTGATATTCATTTCCTTGACCCTTTGAATCCCTTCAATAGCTGCTAAAATCTCAGCCCTCAAAGAGTCACCCACCCCAATCGGCCCAGAGTACATGGCTAATAAATTCCCTGTTTCATCCCTTATAACACCTTTTTAATTGATAACAATGAATTTTATTAATGGAATAAAAAGTTACAAAGCAAGGGAGCTAAACAATCTTTAACTCCCAGAAACAACCAAGGTACACCCAAATTAAAAAGCAATTACAACACAGCCCAAAACATAGAGTTTCTGTTCACCCCTTGCCTGGCTAGACCATCTTCCAATGAATTTGCCCTTCTCTTTACCCATGTACATTGAATTTCGAGTTCCTTAGTCAGCCACTTAAATCTTCTTTTTTCATTGCTGTACTTCCAAAGCCTAGAGTTGTCCTCTTTTAGCCAGTTCACCACAATTTCAGAATCTCCTTCTATGATCAATTTCTTGATATTCATGTATTTAGCCCTTTGTACCCCTTCAAGAGCCACTAGTATCTCAGCCCTCAAAGAATCTCCCACCCCAATTGGACCAGAATACATGGCTAGCAGATTCCCCTTTTCATCTCTTATAACTCCCCCTATTCCGGAGGGCCATGGATTGCCCATACTGCTGCCATCAAAGTTCAGTTTAGTAAAACCCTGCGATGGAGGGGTCCAACAAGAACTTGAAGCCTTCTTAGCTGAAACTGATTCTGCAATTTCCTTCCACTTTCTTAGCAACTTGTCTACAGAAAAATCTACAAACAAACAAGTCCAAACTTCTCTCCTTTTCTGAAAAGATTCGTGAGTTTCTCTCTTCCAAAATAGTCCAACAAACTACAGCCCTAACACATCGCCACATAGTCTTACCCCTTTTTCTTGACCAGTTAGGAGTGGAAGTGAATAAGCTTTGCACATCTAATGGGGGTGTCCATCTGCACCCAAACATAGAAGTAAACCATTCCCAAATGAATTTACCAAACTGATAGGAAATTAGTAAATGGTATCCAGAGGACAAACCAGTGAGGAGACAAACAGCTATTGGGTTTTTCATTTTGAAGCAAATCTCTTTCCAGAAAGGCTTTCCAACAGAAACTCCCAACCTTCGGAGGTATAGGTTGACACCACACCTCTTTAACAAGAAAGGACAGTCCAACAGAAGATGGTTGTAATAGGGCTTTAAAGAATGAGGCACAGGTGAAGGAACCCAAGGGAGTGTGTGTCTAGATTCTACTGTCTGCCTTTGTTGGATCCAAGAAAACCCCATCAAGGATGGATAGTAACAATAAGGTACAATCTAACTCTGAGTCCCCTTATGTCTCTTCTCAAACCCAAGTTCCAACCAAACCTAGAAGTTGAGTTGGAAGGTATAAGGAAGGTAGAAACCGGTTCATTTTTAAAGGTAGTAATAGCAAAAAAGAGCCAGAAATTGGTCTTTTAAAGGAGAATTTCCAACCCAAACATGTTCCCAAAATTTAATGAGATTTCCTAAGTGCAAGTCATACCTGATCCAGGGAGAGAACAAATGCAAAATAGCTTGAATAGCTTTTCAGGGATATGCTCTTGTAGTCCTTGTCAAAATCCCAGAGTCCCATCCATTGTCTCCAATTCCATGAATACTACCCACTATCTTAACCCAAAGCTTTTCTTTCTCCAATGAGAATCTCCACAACCATTTTCCTGGTAGTGCCAAGTTCCTATTCCTTATGTTCCCAATACCCAAACCTCCTTCCTTCTTGCTTCAACACACCACCTCCCACCTAACCCTATGGTCCTTCTTCTCCTCCCCCGACTCCCAAAGGAAGTCTCTCATTAGTTTTTCCAACCTACTAGCCGCCCCAGCTGGGACCTTAAAGACTGACAAAAAATAAACCAGAAGGTTAGCCAATGTAAACCTAACTAGGGTGATTCTCCCTCCCAAAGACAGATAATTTTCTTCCATGTGGCAAGCCTCTTCTCAAACCTTTTTTTTTTATCAATAACACTTTCATTAACTCATCAAAAGAAGATTTACAATAGGAAGACAAACACGCTTATCTTCCAAGAGCAACAAAGAACCTCAAGAAAAGAAAAAAGAAAGAAAGAAAGAAAGAAAGAAAACACACTATAGTTACAACTTAGCCCAAAAAAGTGAATCCCTTTCTGCCCCTTGTTTAGCTAAACCATCAGCTAGGAAATTAGCCGATCTTTTAACCCAAAGTATCTTAACTTCCATCTCTCGCACTAGCCACTTGAATTTCTCAAACCTCTCCACAACCATATCCCAAAACTCTCCTTTCTGAGGGTTATCTCCCAATGGCAAACCAAGGTAAGTTTAAGGGCCAATTAGATACTACACACTCCAAAATGTCTACACACTCAAATATCTCCACCTCCCCCAAATTAACTCCTACTATACAACTTTTCTCAAAGTTCACTTCAAGGTTTGACATTTGTTCATAGAGTTGTATAGTGGAATGAGGAAGATGATGAATAAGAACAAGTGTTTGAAGATGTTTAGCAGATATTGTGGTGGGGAGATGTCTTAGGTGGTCCCTTGGCGATTACTGCCTTCGTCGTTTTTGTTGTCTGTCTTTTGTAGTTGGGTTGGGTGTTATCTTAACACCTCTGTGTGCTTGTAATCAGTTTTTATCTTTTTCAATAAAATTTCTCTTTTTACCTTTCAAAAAAAAATCCTTGAGATTAAACTCTGGGGGCAACACTCTTGTTGTGGGTATTTATCAAAAAAAAAAAACACTCTTGTCATGGGTGGTTAACATTTGTATTCCTTGATCTAACTTATCAATGAAAGTAATTGTTTCCAATAAAAAAAAATACAAAACAATTAAGACACAGATAAAAGAACTTAGAGAAGAATAAATTAACATGACTACTAGTAGCGATATTTAAATAGCTTCTAGAGAGATTGTTATGCAGGATTTGTCCAAAAAAACCCAAATGAGTTGTTAAGTTCAATTCTGACAGATTTACTAGAAACCTGAGACTTTAAGGAGTGACTAGAGTTTAGACAAGTCAAGGGGGTGAGATAATTCTATTGTTATGCTTCAATTGGAGTTGGAAACTCTACTTGAGAATATCATGGCTCTGTTCCAGCATCTCAGACTAATGAATCCTTAGCTGCGAGCAATAAAGATGGAGATGATTCCCAGATTGTTGTTGGTTGCATGTGAGATGGCTCAAATGGTCCTAGGATTTGAGGCTTGCTTTCTCTTTTGGTACGTAAAATCTTGCTTTTTATTGATTTAAAATGAATAATACTATTGGCAACAGTATAAATCAAATATTTCAAAGCATGATACAAACATTCTTTTGGATGTGTGGCAGAAATTTGTATGCTCAGATGGATGAATTTAAAAACTAGAAAGGATAGGGCAGAAACAAAATCATTCAAAGGAACCTAGGAGCATTTCCAATTTGGCAATGTGCATAGAAGACCATCTACAGCACCCCTAAGAAGAAAGATCTGCTGCAAGTTGAGGGGGCTAGAAGGGCTAGGGGCAGGCAGACCAAACAGGACATGGGTTGAAGTAGTAAGAAATGAATTAAGCACTTAATTTAACAAAATGACAAAACAGGATTCATGTAGCCAACCCTATATGGTTGGGATAAGGCTTAGGTGATGGATGATGATGATGATACAAACATTCTATTGGATGGTTTAAAACATATGATGAAGTTTATTGTTTTAGTAGGCCTTCTAGATGGATTCCATTACTCCCAGAATTTTGTATGGAGCTGTGAAACTAATAAATGTAGGATATCAAGGTAAAATGATGAACTGGTATTTCCTCTTCTCTAAGTTTCGGGTCTTTTTGTTCTTTTTTGATAAGCAAGCTTGAGGTCATTTCTCTCCCAATGTTCTCTGTGTATAATAAACCTGTTTGTAAGTTTCAGTATAGTGCTGGTTCCATTCTTATGCAATATGCATCTTTTTGTTGAATGAAAAATATTTGCAGTTTGTTCCCTTTCCTTTTTTTTTGTTTCCTTGGGACTTATGGAAGCAACTGCATGTACAATAATTTGGCATTTAAACAGGTCAACTCAGGACAAAATCATAAACTCATTGGATTCATAAGAGATGGAAAAAAAAATCAGTCATTGGTTCCCACAGGTCCAGTGCAGGTCAACTTGAGATTACCAACCTACATTGGAGTGACCCATGCAACATCACAATGGAAGACTGAAAAGAATTAGCACCAGTGGTATAGATATTTCAGCTCGACCAAGGGATTGCACTGAATTAGTCAATAAAATAGAAAATGCAAACACCAGAAGGGAAAAACAAAAAGAAAGAATATTCTATTGAAACCTGGGTCAGAATCTTCAGCATCTAATGCAGTATCCTTTTTTCTCATCAAAACCTCCTCTTCAAAACGCTCCCGGCCCTCAAGCAATATGCTAAGATATCTGTACATGTTGCTTTGTATCATAAGCTTGATATTCTGCCGCTCTTCTGGAGTAAAGCTTCCATGTAAGAACTTGGCCTGCTCCATGAAAAAGCAACAAATCACATCCAGGAGTAATTCCCAATAATAGACAAAAAAAGATTCTCTGTAAATTAAAATGAGGCTTCTGAGATAAACCTGTGATGTATTAGAAATCAAAACTAATAAACAAAAGGAACAGAGACTATGTTCAGTGGATATGACTTATGAGTAGTCTATAAAATTCTATTAAAGATTCAAAAGTTAATGTTCTCCAAATTCTAAATTATAAATACAGTGCATTTGGAATTTTTGACACCTTAACAACAATGATGACTGATGCAAATAAATAGTTATTGATTGAATCCAAAGTCAAAATAGTTGGAACAGCATAAGTATCACAGGAAGATCAAATGCTTCTGCTCTTACAGATACAATTGTATATACTTCCCAGGTGGCCAGGTTTATATCCATACCTCTTCAGCCAAATACAAGGGTAGTCCACTGATGAAGATACATAAGAAAGGAAAGAATCCATGCAGAAATAAATCAGTTTTTTTTATTCCAAGTTTACTAGTTCCTTACACTAATTTCAGAATTCTCGGAAGACAGGACTATCAGCATTTTTTGAGTTCTTAAATTTATTTTGTACTTGTATGTGTCTTAGGAATAAGGTTTTAAGTCTTCTAGAAAATACTTTATTAGTAAAAAACCAAAGTTATTATTTATGGTTACTTTCAGACTTACCATTTATAATAATTCTCATAGTTACTACATAAGTACATAGTGAAATCACACTTTACTATTTTTAGTAATATTAATGTGCCTTACTAATCCTACTATGGTTACTAGATAGTAGGATTAGTAATTAGTTATTAGAGCTGTTTCAGAGTTAGAGTCTTTTGAGTGTCTACCTCTGGGTTTGTCTTAATTTTGAAATAGTTAGAAGTTGTAAAACAACTCAGTGCAGTCCAAATTGGAGTCTCTAAATGGACATCAAGTTATTATATTACATCCATAAATGGAGTCATTGTAATTGCAATTAGAATAGTTGATTTCATGAAATAAAATTTGGTTTTGGAGTAAAACTTGCAGGAAATTCAAAATTCATTCATTCATCATCTCAAACAGTTTTTACAATTCTCTGTTGTAGTTTGTGTATTTGCTGTTTGGAGAGGCTGCTTCTCACGCCTCTAAGGGGATCTTCTTGTATCTATTCATTATTTTAATGGAATTGATGTTATTTATCAAAAAAAAAAAACAGTTTTTACAATAATATATATATAGATGAGCATTCAATCTTTTTGAAATTTACAATATAATTATCTTCCTAATCGAATGTAACTAAATAAGGAAAGAAGTAAATCTAAAATATTTTCTCAATCTCTACCAAATCTTTGATTGATATGATATCAAATCAAATCTTTAATTGAGAGAATCTCCATGGGCCCCACTTGAACTGGCCAATACAGCTGGAATGGACCCAGTGCATGGGCTGTCTTGCATGTGGACTGCAAATATGGGCTGCGACCCATGGTCTTAGGACTGGGTCTTTTTTTAGCCCATTTCTTTTCTCTATCAACAAAGAAAACATTAAGCTCTACACTTACATACTCATAATCGCCGCCATTAGGTCTGCCCAAAAAAAGTAAAAAGAAAGAGAGAATACTCATGAAATATATTGAAAATAATATATGATTTCCTGTAAAATAGCAGAAAATTGAAGTATAATTGAAAGAGGATAAGAAAACCTGCTTGAAGATAGTGCTTGTTCCAGAACCTTCCAAACCAAGTAACAAAAGCTTCTGGACTCTTCTCTGTTCCAAATATTCAGGCACAGACCTACTTGAGAAAGTAGTTGCATCTTCTCTTTGTCCAGGAGCATTTCCAGGTGGCACGGGCAATGAGAATAATGAACAAATGAATCGAGTTGATGCCTGTCTAGCAAAGGTCATACTGCAAATGTTACATTTAATGTTTCGAGATTGAACCCAATCAATGTTATTTATACGAATGGATAGTATTATACCTTTCCCCATATATTGCCCTTTATGTTATTCTGACCTTCTTCCTCATAAGATCCATCATCATACACCCAAAAATGAGTATCCCGGGGGCATTGCACATTGGCCAACTGAAATTAAAGTCAATGATATCATGCATCAAATTTGCAAATGGAAAATGGGACCAAATCAGTGGCACGAAGACAGAATAAAAGATCTCACCTGGAGCAAACAACAAAGCACATTTAATAAATGAATACAAACACAGGCTGCTTCACTCAGGAGATTTAACATATAGGAGGGACCAGACATTGAAACTGTATATCAAACCCAAAGTCCCAAAGAGACAATACACTCAGAAGAAAATGAAGACTTAAATGTGATATATGAATATGAGTGAGGATGGCAAAGGTATAGGATCATGAGAACACTAGTATTAGTCTGTGGGCAGCCATGTTGTGTGAAAAATACATAAAGGTTAGGACCATACCCAGTCTACCCCTCCCAAGATCCCATATAGCTGGGACCTACATTAGGTAATGGCCTGATATGACCCAGAAATTTGACACGCAGTTCAGACTTACAGCAGCGTTCACACACACTCGAACATCAACAAAAGAGACTAGTATTCATTCAGCAGAAAACATTAACAGTTGGTCGGTTCTTCGAGAGACCGCCGGCTCTCCCAACACTCACAATATTCTTTACTCAAAGAAAAACATAYCMCCCCYWWYCCCCAAAGCCCCTTCTTATACTCTTCTGATAGCATAACTGACTCCCTCTATAAATGCCCAGCTGGCCTAGTTATAAATGCCCAAAAACTCTTCTTTTTTCATAACTGACATAGCTATAAATGCCCCAAGACTCTCCTTATTCCCTCAAGCTATAATTGCCCTCATGTGATTAATTGTTCAATTATTTCCCCCGCTTAGCTGATTGTTGACCTTTCCTCTTCCTGGCATACGTAAGGTTAATTGGGGCCTATCATGGCCTTTGGTGGATTGTTTTTTTTTCTTTTGATAGGTGGATTGTACACTAACAGAATTTCAGGAATTCATGTATACTTATAGGTGAACATTTTTTATGAATAAAGAAAATTTTATTACTTCAGAACTTAATAGAGAACTTTAAACTCATACAACAGCCCTTGGAGAGGCGCGAGATGCAGCCTCTCCCAACAGATTACAAGAAAACTAGAAAGAAAAAACAAGCATTACAGCTGTGCAGCTTCTCCCAACAGATTACAAGGAAACTAGAAAGAAAAAACAAACATTACAGCTGAGCCCAAAACAACACTTCCCTATTTGCCCCTTGCTACTTATAGGTGAACATTCTGATGCAAGAATCCACCATACTTTTTCTAGGGTAAAACTACAATAAATTTCTTTTCATTTTCCATAATTGTGCAAAACGGATGCAACCGAGGAGACTTTCATCCACTTACAGCATTGAGAAAGGACAAGGTCTTTACAGTAAAAAGGAGATTTTAAAAAAAAATGAAAGAGAAGCTTCATCACTTTGTTTTGCAACTCTGTAATCTATCATTTTCATTTCTTTTTGATCCATAACAGTAATTATATTGTATTAATGTATGAAAATGAAGATGAGATACATGAAAAAACAAAGTGCCAGAACTCTAAACAAAATGAGAATCCAAATCTACCCAATAATCTCAACAGGACCCTTGGTATATCTAATTACCTAATACAAAAAGTGGTATCTTTGTCCTGATTTCTGAACTTGTGATTGTGATACACATTATCATAATATGTATATTAATAACGTGTTTCTTTCTCCTCCTGCTCCCCCAACTGTTGAAAACAGGTCCTCCCCTCATTCCCTTAGTTTTTCCACTTTTTTGTTGTGTTTTCCTTGTGAAGCAAGCAGCAGCTCTTTCCCTTCCACTTTGTTATTGGTCTTTCACTTTTTCATTATTTTCCATCTTGTCAGTTTAGAACTTAACCTTTTAAGGTATAGCATCTCTAAGAACTCCTTTTACCTTTTTTGCCAATAAGAAGGGGATATTGAGCTTAAAATCACCATGTGGAAAGAAGGTTGAGGCATTGAGATAAGAAACTAAGAGAATCACAATCTTACATCCAATCAGGTTTGTCATCTCTGCTTCCAAAATCCTAACTTGCCATAAGCTGCATGTTTGGATCACTGAGTTGTTTAATTGGTTAATTTGCTAATAGTTTTGGTCTACAATTGCTCCATTATCTATTAAATGTCTCATTGCAATATTATTTTTAGGGAAAATCTAAGATGCAGAAAAGATATGGTATGGGAAGAGTTTTGACCAATCAAAATCCACCCATGAATTTTGATAAATAACACCTGATTGGCTACCACGTTTATGACTCCAGTTGATTGGTCAGAAGTTTTTCAGATATCATATCTTTTCCATATCATAGTTGAACCCTTATTTTTAATATTTGAATCAATAGATTTGAAATGCCATTCTTCCCTAGATAAACTTAAGAAAGTTTTCTATGTTTTGGCATGGAAGTTGATGTTATTTATCAAATATTAATTCTTTTTCAATATAGATGCTCATATGCTATGTAAAAACCCTTATTAATCAAAATCCATTACCTAGGCAGATGACTACGCACTTTCACTATCACCTAGCTTCACCTTACCGCCTTCTGAACTATGTTTTTTTTTCCTTTTATAGTCCTTGACAACTATGGTATTATTGTTGATTCTCCACATTTTTGCCCTCAAGTAAATGGTACATTAAATACCATCTTATTTATTAGTTCAACAGCTGATTCTCCTCAAAATTGTCTCCTTTTCACCCTCAAAGTAAATAGCATAATAGATGCTATTACTTACAATGTTTTCCCATCTCTTGTCTCCTCAGATTTTAAAACCCCAACCCTTTTTCATATATTGTGGTGGATAACTATGATTTAGTGTGTAAATTTTCAAAAAATAGAAAGATTATGGAGCCTCCCGCGTGCCTTAACTAGTGCATCTCTATATGCACTTGTTTATATATTACAAATGGCAAAATTCTTCTGTAACTTTTGAAAAAATTACAAGAGAGAAAGAGAGAGAGAGAGAGAGAGAGAGAGAGAGAGAGAGATTTTGAAGTGACATTTCTACTAAGAGGCTAAAATAGTTTTTGAATAAAATGTACCAGATCAGAGTTCTGATGACCATTGTAAAAAATAAATAAATAAAAATCCAGCTTAGTCATTATTAAAGAATCAAATTTGATTAAATGTCAGAAAAGTAATAGTAATGCAATATGATCCTAGCACTTGAATGGGCATACATGTGGTTATTGAGGTACAATAATGTTTATCCAGAATATTAGTCAAGTAATTACTATCATATTATGCTTGATTATTATATGGTAAGAAAAAATAAATGTATTTCTTTGTACAACTTCCTCAACCATGATGGCACCCCCTAATTTTCTAACCTAAAAAAAAATTCTTGTAACATACCTCTTAAACTAAATAGGAAATACATTATCTCATCAAAGGACGAGATAATGTACAGGAACTCTGGTCCCCACCAACACAACAAAGGGTAACGTTGAACTTTGATGGAAGTTCTATAGGCAATCTGGGTCCATCTGGCATAGGGGGCGTTTTCAGAGATGGAGAAGGTAGAGTAATTGCTATGTTTTTGGGACCAATAGGAGTGGGAGGCTCATTGAGAGCTGAAGTAATGGCTCTACTTCAGGGTGTAAGATTTGCTAAACAGTTGGGTTTACACCAAATTGAGATAGAAGGGGACTCTAAGTTGCTAATTGGGTGGATGCAGTCAGGTAGCTTGGAGGTCTGGAAACATAGACAGATGGTGAGGGAAATCCTTTGTATAACAAGGGAGACTGGGGTATGCTTCAAGTGGACAAGAAGGTCAGCTAACAGGCTAGCTGATACCTTAGCAAAACAAGGGACTGTCAGGGATAATTTGTTTTGGGCAGTGCTGTAATCATAAAAATGTTTTTGGGGTCAACACCCTTCACCAGGGATTGACAGTTGTACTTTGAAATCCCTTATTTAATGAAGTTACCATTTTCAATAACAAAGAAACACCATCTCCACCTACAATCACATCTATAATACTCTCATTATCTCATCAAATATTATAGATGCATTCATGTTATAAAGACTAAGGAAAAGTCCAGTTTTCTTTTTTATTAACATTGCTCGGCAGCTTATGATATAATAATAATAATAATAATAATAATAAATTAAAATAAGATAAGATAAAAATTTAAAAATACAGTAAATATTCCAGAAAAAAAATAGGAAATTTTATGAGAAATTAGAAATTTCCAAATTTATATTTGCTAACAATAAAAACATCACTTTTAAATATGGAATTAAAATATCAACACATTAAATGTCATATAAGTATCATCAGCCATCAATATATCACTTGCAAAATAGCAAAAAACAAATCAAAATTTCAAATTAATAATTCGCATAAGTCCCACAACATTAATATAAACAAGTTATGGTGCCCCCACTAACCCACTTCTGTTTATACATTTTACTAAAATAATACAATAAATAAATTTGGAGGGTTTTCATCCTATGTATTGTGTTAATATATAATGGGGAACAAGGATAAAATGGTTCCTCCACTCCTATCTATATCATTTTTATTATTAAGAAAAACAGCTTGAAAGATAAGAGCATATGAGGTGTATGCCACCTATATAAAGTGCAACAGAAGTGCAGGCCTCAGATGCCTCTATATTGGAGGTGTACGCCTCGAGCACACCTCCACTGTGCACCTCCAGGCATTTTCTTAGCACCTCACCCCAAGCATCTATACACCTCCACTATGTGCCTCAAGTATCTATACATCTCCCATGTATCTATATTAGATTCTTGCCCTCTCAGTCCTACCGCATACACTCCCCCACCCCAATTCCACTTAGTAGAATGTTTCCTAATTAACCAGTAATAGCTATTAAAATTTAATATTATATGACACTTCCTCAATTAGTAGAATGTTTCCTGATTAACCAATAAAGTACCTATTAAGTTCAACAAGTACATCAACTTGCAGCAGACAACTGCATTTTTCCTTCCGAGGAACTTTTAATAAATCAATACTAGACAAAGAAGAAAAAAACAGAGTTCTGTTTCATTTTAACACCTCTGGCATGTCTTCAACCAGTTTTGATCAGGCTAGGACAAATAACTTTTTTTCCTAGTAAAATAAAATTCATTAAAAGGAATATATATATATATATAAGCAGTATACAGGCTTTGTGGTCCAAGCAGCATTGCAGCAAGCAGATTCAAAGAATCCTCTTATGGGATGGAGGGGCAAAGAAAGGGATATATGGTGAATTGAGACAATCTGCAAATGAAAGATGTAGAGGGGATTAGAATTGGAGTGTGTTCTCAAAGAAACATGGCTCTTCTTAGAAGGTAGCAGTTGAGATACCTCAAGGTAATGAAGTGTTTGGACTTCCATTATTCATAGCAAATATGGGATGAGCTCAAACAGGTGGGGCAACAACCTCCCTCTGCATCAGTTTTCAATCTAATGTCCTTGAAAAGGTATTCTTAAATCCTGCCCTCTATTTATTTGTTTGGCTAGGCTTGGGGTAGGGAATGAACAAAAATCAAATTTTGGACTGATATATGATGAGGTAATCCTCATATGAATTTATCGTTCCCACAAATTCTTCAGCTCTGTTCCTGTAAGAATGTCATCATATCTGATTTCCTCTCTCAGGTGAAGGTGGTTTGTCCTGGAACCTGCAACTTAGACATCCTATCATGGATGTTGAGTTTTTCCAGATACTAATGCTTCTCCCATTTTGCATGTCCATGGGCCATATGCTGATATTGCCGCGGCCGAAGTTGATGGTCTTACTTATTCATTCTAGGACTGGTAAGCTTAGTCAACCTCATGCATTAACCATGAGGGGTGACTCAACGAATGCTATTAGGTCGGCTAATAGCTTTAAGACCATGGGGATTGGTGCAGTTAATGAGATTAAAGTTATCTTAAGTTCCTTCATCACTTTTTTGCAATGGATTCCCAGAGATCTAAGTGTTGAGGCTGATAGTTTAGCTAGGAAGGGCCCTTTTGTATGGTGACGGCTATTTTCCTTAGTCATTTTGTCAAGGATGGGGATGTAGTCACTCTTTTTGCAAAAATCATTAATCATCCTCTCTTTTCAATGAATTAGTTGCCTTTCTCAAACAAAAGAATTTTTACAGCAATCAGCAAGACATTAAACTATTGATTTTGGTCACATTAATTTTCATGGATTTAGCAGGGCAGAGAACCTACATAACTCCACCTTTCAACGTATGTTGGATGGCATAGAACGAAAAGATTTCTGCAGTGCCAAAATTAATAGCCATGGTAGCGTTCTATCCAGTTAAGTTTTAATCTACTAAAAGCACCTATTCTAACCGACTGAGTTGGCAAAATCTTATTGGGCCAGTAGAGAATTCTCTCTTGACTGGCCTGGTGAGGGTTCAAAGCCAACAATCTACTTGGGAGAGGTGGATTGAACTAAGCCCCAAAAATAGGAAATTTGTATCAGGTTGGCACCCAGCACTAAAACTTATACCAAACTTTTATGGACATAGATCCTGAAATTGGAGGTACAGGATTCATCTAGCCAGCCTCATATACCTGGTACAAGGCTTAGTTGAGTTGAGCTGAGCATAATGTGGCTGCTGCGAGACTCAAAGTCATGTTCTCACAATTGTCAGCCCAAGGTTTCACCATTTGCACCAAGCAATGGCCTCAAACATGATAATCTTTTTGTACATCTTGAAGAGCATATTGCATTCGCACACATCTTGTACAGATTCCAAGCATGGCATCATTACAGGAATAGACCAACTTACTACTTGCAATTTCAAGTGGGAGAACAACTAGCAGCCCTAGAAGCCAAAACAAAGTTTTGCTTCTGCTTGAGGTATGTATGTTTTTGGCCTTTGGACATGTTTCTGTTTCTGCATTAAAACTTTACCTTCAGCATCCTGAGTTCTATCTTTGTGATTTCACGCCCATTGATGAATACTTGTGTATTTCCATTGCTTGCATCTGGCTGTAGCTTTCCTCCGACGTTCAATTTTGAACTTATGATCCTATCAGGCTTCTCTCCCTCCTGCGATCCAATCTTTAAATATAAGTTTCATGAACTAAATTTAGACGACAAAAAAAGGAACAAACAGTTTCATATTGTAAAATTATAAATTAATTTCACCTTTCCCCAAAGTCCAGAATCTTTGTCATACCAGTACCTCCCAGGTTTCAGCTTCTGAGGAGGATAAGCACAACCCAAAATATCAGCCAGTTCTTCTTGTCTAAGAGGCCTCCCATTCACAATAAGCTGCTCAGGTCGAAGCTGATTCGCAGAGCATTCTTTCTCTGCTTTCATTATCTGTCTAACCTCTAAAGGACTACACAGTCTACTCAACATCCTCGAAGATTTCCCCAAACTCGATCGCTTCGACTCATTTATCGGCTTCCCAATGCAGCTTACACACTTCCGGCCTTCCGGCATCGAGCCCATCGCTTTCAGAACACAATTGCTGCAATACCTCGCATCACATACCAGACAAGTCTCCCTCTCCTTCAACCTGTTCCCCTTCCCACACCTGCTACAGACATTTTTCTTCCGCTGAACCACAGCCGGGGCCCCTGCCTGGTCAACAACACTAGACCTAGTAGAAGGCAATTCCTCCTCCTCCTCCTCATCTCCCCAATCGTCTGCAGTATTGAACGCCACTCGCCGCCCCGCACCTGTGGCCTTTGGCGAACCAACGAGAGGAGACCTTGTCGGTGAATTCGCCTCTCGAACAGACGACGACCCCCCAAGACTCGACGCTTCGTCCGCTCCTTCATCCCCAAAGTCTGATTCTCTTGGCTCATCTCCCTGAGATTCAGTTCGCGTCCTCGTAACAGACGACCTCGGGCTCTCCACCTGAGGAGATCTCCTCGATTCCCCACTGCCCCCTCCAATAAGAATTCTATTAAACCTCGAAGCCTTTGGAGCTACCGGAATAATCGGCGCAACCACCTTAGCAACTGGAGCATACTCTGACACAGAAACCAGAGAAGAGCTCCGAATCGAAAGCGAGTCGATGTCCAAAGGCTCAACTTTGGGGACCTCGAAGGGTACCGGAGGGCCGTGGTACTCGACCGCGATCGAGTAATCGAGATGCTCTTCATCCGGTAATGGAGCTCCCGCAGGAAGCATTCTCCGCAGCACCTCCTCCCACCTCTTCTCCCCCTCTGACTCAATCGCCATTGTCGCGCCCGTAAACACTCAATCAAGCTTTCTCAGCGGCGATCACGCAAGCTGAGCCTTAGAAGACTCGAACATGACGGCTTCACGTCCACCATTGACGAGGAAGAAGCAAGAAAGCTAGGGTTTCTGCGAACCGAAAAGAGAGAAAGCAAAACGAGTGGTGTTAGAAAGGCAGAAAGGATAAAGAGAGTGAAAGGGATGAGCGTTGAAAGATCTGAGAATCCATGAAAAGGCCACTCAAAAGGGGGTAGGACGCCATTAAAGAAGGTCTGAACAAATGTCACAGTAGTTCAACACTTGAACTTACAGAGTGACGGAATGGCTAACGGAGGTAGTCAATTTTTCAGTTGGGTTCGTGGAGATTCCGTTAGTTTTGACGTCACAGACTCAGTCGCCAAAACGAAAACGTGACGTGGATTTGGTGATTAGGGTACCGGGACCGTTGACATTTGAGGATCATATAAAATGACGAAAATCTCCCTGTTGAGTGTAACGTCTGGTTTCCACGTTTTTATAAAAAGGGAGTGATTTGGGCACATCCGGTTGTTGAGAAAGGGGCACACACCTAATCATTGCAGAAAGGTCACGTGCATTGAAAGACGGAAACACCCCTGGCCGTGTGTGTTTTGACTTGTTTTGTCTGTATGGCAACTAGCAGTGGCTTGTTGGTCTTTTCCTAGTAGAGATGTACCCTGTTGTTGTTGACGGAAAAAATGGAATGTGTATTTATCAATTACATTGAAAAATGGATATGTTGATAAATCGTCAGGTAGGAGGAATGGGAATAGGAACACTCGAACTCAAACATATTTTGGAGAAGGTTTCTTCACAAAGATTTATTTAATCATAATTTGGGGAAGACTTTCTTTTGTTTTTTCTTTTTTATAGAGTTACTATCATTATTTGGAGAAAACTAAGGGGCTTCTTCCACCTTTCTCTACCCTAGGTGTCACCTGGATGTTATTGGTACTCTCTCTCTAGGCAATGTTATTGGTATTCTCTCTTTCTAGGCACTCCAAGCATGATGATGTACAACCTATAGTAACTAGGTTTAGAGAGACAAATAGGACCTATAAAAATTCTTTTAGAGCAATGTTTTAAAAAATGACTTAGAATCCGAATTATTATTGCCACCGATTTTTGGGTTGATGGTTCAATTGTCTAGTCTCAATGAACAATCCATTTTGACAAAATAAATTAAAATTTAAAAACAGTCAAAACCGTTGAATGGATCGAATAGGTCGATGATTCGACTGCTCGAGTCAATGGTTCATTAATCGATTCAATAATTTTTAACCAATGACTGGGTTTGGGGTAAAACGAAACCAGTTGCCTAAATAATTCTCAGGCCAAACGATCTGATTGTCTGAATCAACAACGATTCAAAAACCATGTCCCCGAACCTGCCTCATTACCATCCGTAAGCATTTCTTGATCACTTGTTCTCTATAAGTGACTAACAGTGTTCTACTCAGCAACTATTATGAACATAGACAGCTCCATGGATCTTGACCATTGGTGCCACCACCACCGATAAGGACTTTGAATCAGATGTTGATTTGGGCAAAAATACAATGGTCGTGATGTTCTGTATTGTCTAAATCCACGCACAATTCAGTAGCATCAAGCTTTCTTGTTTGATTTTCCAACTTCTTATAGATTTCTCAACTAGAAAACATGAATTGCTGATGTAAGTACAACATAATGTTAATTTTTATTTGATGATAACCATAGGAGTGGTAGGATTAAATAAACAGCAATGAGTGCATGTACACATAAATCACATAATCAATGCTCACATTCCATGGTTCAAAAAATGAATAATGAATAGAACAGCTTCATTTGCATTTTGTGGTTTAAAAATGGATTGCCATGCATGCTCATGCATTTTCAAAAATACTGGTATGGCTCTTGAGCTATACCACACTTTTTCTAAAGCATGAAACCAAACACCACCTATGCTTTTGACTTGTATTAGTGAGTTAAATACATATATGGAACTTGGGCCGGCTTTCTCGTGTATTACACAATGTGCTCTTTAGTCTATTCTCATTCTATGTAAAAAATAAAAGACTCCTTTATTCCTCCTCCTATTGACTATTGGCAAGTTCACATGCTTTTTGTTCTGATTGCATACAAAGATAGTTGTTGTTCAATTGTAAGTTTGGTTTTCTAAAAAGTCTTTCATAATAATCAATTTGGAAAAAGTAATAATCTAATAGTCCATTTGATTTAATAAAAAATTATCAAATTGAGTTGTTAGCTTGGATGGAAAATTCTAAAGGAACAAGACAATTTGTGGGTTAAAGTTGTTACTCATAACACCTTAGAAACGGAGATCTATGGAATATTCCTATTAAAAAAAAGGAGCTTCTTGGGCCTGGAGAGGTATTCTTAATGCTAAAAAACTACTTAATAGAGGTGTTGGTTGGACCATCGGAAATGGTCATAAAGTTCATTTCTGGAAAGATAAATAGATTGACCCTGGCACTATTGAGGAGACAGTGAGTAGAGATTCCCCAAATTTTGATAGTGATATGAGAGTTGGGGAATTTATTGATAATGAGAAAAAGGCTTGGAATGAGGATATGATCCTTAGTATTGTTCCAAATCATGTATAGAACAGTATTAAGTTTATTTTGATTCATGCGGAGTCAAAAGATGACACAATTATTTGGAGATGTGATCCCAAGGGAAATATCACCATTAAATCAGCTTATAAGGAGGCATGCTGCATAGTAAGAGGGAATGGAGGAGTAAATCAGGTTCTTAACAAGATATGGGGCCTTAAGACACTCCCCCTCTAAAAAAAATAATAATAATAAATAAATAAATAAATAAAAACTTTTCTCTATTTCTTCTTAAATAATCGCCTCAACAGGGGCGGGGCTCGCAGTGACAGGTCAAATTTCCATCTCTGGATCAATCCATGTTCTCACAAGCCAATTGTCACCAATGAGCCATATATCTTATGCCAAACCTCATGTCCTATTCCGAACACTTGTGTGTTGAGCAATTATATGAAGTTTTGGAGTTCAGCTGGGCAAAGCCCATTAGACCAGCCTTTACTGCCTTTAGGGGTGGCAAATTTTCACCCAATCTGCTGAACCCACCCAATCTGCTGAATCCACCCATTATCTAATTCGCCCAACCCGTTCATTTACTTGGTAGGTTGTGTGATCAACCCGCCATCCAATTCGCCCATTTAAATGGATTGGGTTGTGGATAACCATTGGGTTAACTATTACAAATATTAGTATTAATTCCTTAGCCTTTTTTTTATTTTCTTCATTTGAATTAAATAATTTATAATTAATGCATTAATTTTCTATTAATTATTGACTAAATTTAGTTTTGTCTTAAATCAACACACTTCACCCAACATAAATCCAAATCAATTTGACCCAAGTCCGGACCAGTTCAACGTGGTATAACCCAATCCAACATATACTGATCCGTTCAACCCGACCCGAATCCAACACGGTCCGATTTGCTTCTTTTGACCCGCTTCGGGTCAATCGGTTCGGCCCCAAACCCGTGCACAAACCTGATATGAGCCGACCCAAGTCAAGCCACCGTTGATTGAACCGGCCCGGGCTGAACCGGTTCGGGCGGGGTCTAGTCCGACTGGACTGCACCGGATCTAAACAGTTCAACCACTCTTGAACTTGATGTGATTACCTCGAAGACAATCCAATTAGATAGTTCAAGTTGGTCTGACCGGTTTGAACTCATGTGGTTCGTCAAATCCGAAACCCGAACATAGTTAAATGGTTTTGCTGCTTGTATAAAAATAACATGAATGTAATGTGATTTGAACCTACACCACTTGTGTGAGTAACAACTACTATTACCACTAAGCTATGACCAACTAATTTATTAAAAATGAGTTAGTTTTTTGTTTTAAGTACATAAAGATAAGATTAATGGGTTTGGGTGGATTGGATTGGATTAAATCGGGTTTGGGTTGAACCCAACCCGTTTAATTTTATATAACTGAATCATTAACGGGTTGGCGGTTAAATGGATTGGGTTGAAATTCAAACCAAACCAAACCCAACCCAACCCGCCCAATTGCCCCCACTAACTGTCTTGCATTGAGAATATCTCTATACTTGTGTACTTTATTTCATGAGATATTTCCAATACAAAGTTACAAAAAGATTGTTAAAACAGTGTAGGCACAAATTTGCCCCGATAGAAGCCGATCTGGAAATTTTGGTGGTCTAATATTCCATATTGTCATGTTGAGTTACTTATCGCACATGATTCGGGCCCGGACAGAAATTGGTTCCCAATGGAAGTGCCAGTAACCTTCATGCTGAGTGTCTTGTTGCACTTATGCGATTTCCTAATTCCAAGTTCACCAAGGTATAAGGCTTGGTGGACTATGGACAAAGTGGATTTGATTATTAAAACCATCTTCCCCATGGGCGACAATACTTTGGCATTGTAGTTCTTTAGTCTCAACTTGACCTTGTCAATTATTAATCGATAGTGGGCCTTGGGGAGTGATTGGAGAGTCTGGAGACTAATGGTTGTCCTAAGTAATGTTTATTCTTAGACATATGGCTCATACGTACCCAAATAATCTGCAACAATTAAGTTTCCCATGGTGGTGATGCATCTTCTTGTTGTTGAAAAGGAAAATGGATTTTTCATAGTTCACCATTTTTCTAGACCAACTATAGTAATTATATAGTTTCTTTTCAACATAATGGATTTTTCATAGTTCACCATTTTTTTAGACCAATTATAGTAATTATATAGTCTCTTTAATTTACTTTGCTTCAAGGGGACATTTAGTAAATCTTTTTGTATGGTCTTTTGGGTAGGGGTGCAATTTGAGTGGACCCAACCCGTGCCCAGACCGATTCAGCCCACAATTTTATACAATGTGGGTATGGATTTTAGGGCCTTGGGCTAAGCCTTGGCCCGAAGCTTGAGTTTTTTTTTTTTTGGTCCGGGCCCAAGCTTAACCCGTAGATAATTCAAACCTGACCTGCCCTACCTTTATCCTAACCCAAGCCCAACCCATTAATGTATATACATATATACATGTGTTTTTTGATAAGCCATACATATTACATACATA